TGGCTCAAGTCAGGGTTTAGGGTTTAGGGGTTTTCAGGGGTTTAGGGGTTTAGGGGTGTTGGGGTTTAGGGGTTTAGGGGTTTGGGGGGTTTTGGGGTTTAGGGGTTTCGTGGTTTAGGGTAGGTGTAGGGTTTAGGGTTTAGGGTTTAGGGTTTAGGGCCAGCCCCCCAACCAAGCTTGCGAGCTCTTAGCAATCCCTTCCGTAGGGATCCCGATGTTGGGAGACATCCAGTTCAGGCACGGAATGCTTTCCCAAGATCCCTAAACCCTAAACCCTAAACCCTAAACCCTAAACCCTGAACTCGACTAAGAGCCAGCAAGCAAGAGCCCTGGGCTTGGAGCCTTCTACAGGGAAGGTTTAGGGTTAGGGTTTAGGGTTTAGGGTTTAGGGTTTAGGGTTTAGGGTTTAGGGTTTAGGGTTTAGGGTTTGGGGTTTAGGGTTTAGGGTTTAGGGTTTAGGGTTTAGGGTTTAGGGTTTAGGGTTTAGGGTAAAAACCTAGATCTTAAAGCCCTAGACTTGGGATGTTTCCCCTTATGCGAACTAACATTCCTTAATAGGGATTCCAGTAACCCCCTATTATCATCCTAATTAAGGAATGTTGGTATAAATCACAGCCCTAAACCTGAAACCTTTTGGGACTGTGACCTTGGTGTTGAAGTACGGTACTAGGTTGGCCTTTAAACCCTCTGAAAAATATTTCATGTTTAGGGTCCCTTATAAGCCCAAATAAGGAAAATACAAAAGGTCCCAAAAGCCAACCTAGAGTAGGACGGGTTCTGGGGACAAAGTTCTTGGCCAAAGGGAAGAAAAGGACAACCAGAAACTCCAAAGGAGAAGGCGCGGAGTCTCCCTGAACCGCTAAAACACCGAAATCTGGACATTAGGGTTTAGGGTTTAGGATGTAATTAGGGTTTAGGGTTTAGGGTTTAGGGTCATATGCCCAGGCTGTCGCCTTTAACCTTGGGGCCTCCCGACATAAGATGATCTTGATCCCCCAGTAGGTCAAAAGGGCTTCCAAGTACACTAAACCAGAAACCCGAAACCCGAAACCCGTCCTACAGAGCGCGCAAGCCCCCCAAAAGCCGCCGAGCATCCAAGATCCAAAACATGACAATCAGCAGGTCCAGATAGTTCCAACAATCCTTGCGGTAGGGTTTAGGCTTTAGGGTTTCCAGGGTTTCCAGGGTTTACAGGGTTTAGGGTTTCGGTTTAGGGTTTAGGGTTTAGGGTTTAGGGTTTAGGGTTTAGGGTTTAGGGTTTAGGGTTTAGGGTTTAGGGTTTAGGGTTTAGGGTTTAGGGTTTAGGGTTTAGGGTTTAGGGCTTGCATTTTTGTTGTTAAATTCTTGGGTGGGCTCTTGCGTTGCTTCTACACTTGTTGGGTTCTTTATGTAAAAGATACGGAAACCGTGTTTAATACTTGAATTTGTTTATTTGCCTATCCTTGGTTGCTTTTGTTGTCATGCTTGCTTGTGTTTCTGAATCGTTCATGTATTAGGACCAACTTGCTGAGGGCACCTGTACCTATGCACAGTCAAAACTTGGGTTTTGAAGCTATGATTAAGGAACCTCGTTAATACGCAAGTATGTGCTCTACTTTGAGGTTCATGGTACTTATTAACCAATTATAAACTATACTTACAAGTGTTATACTTACAAGTGTACTTATAACCATGTTAGGGCACTTAAGGAGCTTCTAAGTGGGCTCTCAGTACAATTATAACTGGCTTATAAGTACCATGAAACTCCAAGTATGCAGGTACATTGACCTTCAAACCTTCCAGGTTTAGGGTTTCGTTCAACCCTACGAATAACGCCAATGATGGCCCCAAGAAGAACGGGTGGAGTTTTTTTTTGGGTCTTTTTTTTTTTTTTTTGGCCATTTTTTTTTTGGTCGATTTCCTTGGTTTTCTCTAGGAAAAACCCTACTTTCCTTACATTTTGGACGGATTTTCTGTCATTTCCCTGAGGTTTTCGTTGGTTTTTCATAGGGAAAACCTATTTTTTTTGGATTTTGGACGGATTTCCTGTAATTTCCCTTAGGTTGAAGCACGCTCTGCACGGCTTAAAAAAAGCGGGGGGGTTGGGGGGGGCGCAGCGCCCCCCATTTGCAAACACAAAGCACACACGATGTTTTTCAACTAGTTTCTTGGGCTTTGAAGCACGCTTGGTACAGCTTAAAAGAAGCGGGGGGGTTGGGGGGGGCGCAGCCCCCCCCATTTGCAATGCTCACACGATGTTTTTCAACTAGTTTCTTGGGTTGGGAAGCACGCTTGGTACGGCTTAAAAGAAGCAGGGGGGGTTGGGGGGGGGCGCAGCCACCCCCCATTTGCAAACACCCTGCTCACATGATGGGTGTCAACAAGTTTCTTGGGCTTTGAAGCGCGCTCTGCACGGCTTAAAAAACAAAAAAAAGCGGGGGGGTTGGGGGGGGCGCAGCCCCCCCCATTTGCAAACACAATGCTCACACGATGCTTTTCAACTAGTTTCTTGGGCTTTGAAGCAAGCTTGGTACGACTTAAATGAAGCGGGGGGGGGGTTGGGGGAAAACACAGCCCCCCCTCATTGGCAAACACCCTGCTCACATGACGGGTGTCAACAAGTTTCTTGGGCTTTGAAGCACGCTCTGCACGGCTTGAAAAAAACGAGGTTTTCGTTCGTTTTTCCTAAGGAAACCCTCTTCTGATTACATTTTGGACGGATTTCGTCAAACGTCAAAGCGTACGTTGCTTTTCCTTAGTTTGTCCTAGGGAAAACCCTATTTGGTTCGTTTTCTTGGTTTCTATCATTCCCTCTATATTTTCATCGGATTCATACTTTTTTTTTCAACTAGTTTCTCGGGCTTTGAAGCACGCTTGGTACGGCTTAACAGAAGCGGGGGGGGGGTTGGGGGGGCGCAGCCCCCCCCCCCCATTTGCAAACACCCTGCTCACATGATGGGTGTCAACAAATTTCTTGGGCTTTGAAGCACGCTCTGCACGGCTTAAAAAAAGCGGGGGGGTTGGGGGGGGCGCAGCCCCCCCCCATTTGCAAACACAATGCACACACGATGTTTTTCAACTAGTTTCTTGGGCTTTGAAGCACGCTTGGTACAGCTTAAAAGAAGCGGGGGGGTTGGGGGGGGCGCAGCCCCCCCCATTTGCAATGCTCACACGATGTTTTTCAACTAGTTTCTTGGGTTGGGAAGCACGCTTGGTACGGCTTAAAAGAAGCGGGGGGGGTTGGGGGGGGCGCAGCCTCCCCCCATTTGCAAACACCCTGCTCACATGATGGGTGTCAACAAGTTTCTTGGGCTTTGAAGCACGCTCTGCACGGCTTAAAAAAAGCGGGGGGGTTGGGGGGGGCGCAGCCCCCCCCATTTGCAAACACAATGCTCACACGATGTTTTTCAACTAGTTTCTTGGGCTTTGAAGCACGCTTGGTACGGCTTAAAAGAAGCGGTGGGGGGTTGGGGGGGGGCGCAGCCCCCCCCCATTTGCAAACACCATGCTCACATGATGGGTGTCAACAAGTTTCTTGGGCTTTGAAGCACGCTCTGCACAGCTTAAAAAAAGCGGGGGGCGCCAGCCCCCCCCCCAATTTGCAAACACAATGCTCACACGATGTTTTTCCACTAGTTTCTTGGGCTTTGAAGCACGCTTGGTACGGCTTAAAAGAAGCGGGGGGTTGGGGGGGGTGCAGCCCCCCCCACCATTTGCAAACACCCTGCTCACATGATGGGTGTCAACAAGTTTCTTGGGCTTTGAAGCACGCACGCTCTGCACGGCTTAAAAAAAAAACAAAAAAAGCGGGGGGGTTGGGGGGGGCGCAGCCCCCCCCATTTGCAAACACAATGCTCACACGATGTTTTTCAACTAGTTTCTTGGGATTCGAAGCACGCTTCCTTTCTTCCTTCCTTGCTTCCTTCCTTTCTTCCTTCCTTTCTTCCTTCCTTGTTTCCTTCCTTTCTTCCTTCCCTCCTTTCTTCCTTCCTTCCTTCCTTCCTTCCTTGTTTTCTTCCTTTCTTTCATCCTTCCTTCCTTCCTTTCTTTCCTTCTTTCCTTCTAAAACGTACCAGAAATAACGCTTTCCTATGAAACCACAGAGAAATTACTGTTTTTCGTACCAAAAACCACGAAAATGCATCAAATCCTTTAAAAATATGGAGGGAATGGTGGTTTTCTTAGGAAAAACCAAGAAAATCGACCAAAAAAAAAAAAAAAGGCCCAAAAAAAAAAAAAAACCCAAAAAAATAGGCCCTCCGTTTAGGGTTTAGGGTTTAGGGTTAGGGTTTAGGGTTTAGGGTTTAGGGTTTCGGGGTTCGGGGTTAGGGTTTGACTGGGGCCTTGGCTCCCCCAACTCCGGTCTCAGCTGAAGAAACCACTGCCTACCACTACTTGTGAGGGCGGCATAAACCCCCAACTCCAAAACCCTAAACTCCCTAAAGCCCTGAAACCCTAAAACCCTAAAACCCTAAAACCCTAAACTCCCTAAAGCCCTAAAACCCTAAAACCCTAAACTCCCTAAAACCCTAAAACCCTAAAACCCTGAAAAGGCTTCCTCTTCGCCCCCCCAGGTGCTGGCGCCCTCCTGGCTGATAGGGAGGGAGGCTGCGCGCAGAAGCGCCTGGAGGGCGGCCGCAAACTTCGGACAGGCGGCCTTGTCAGCCTCAGTACTTGGGAGCATCTTGTGCACCACCCGTTTTAGGGTTTAGGGTTTGGGGTTTAGGGTTTGGGGTTTAGGGTTTTCGAGTTTAGGGTTTTTGAGTTTAGGGTTTGAGGTTCAGGAAGAACCGGCAAAAATCCCCAAATTTGATCCTCAAGATCAGTCCAGGCTGCCTGGTCCTGCTTTCGGACGGACTGCAGGTGCTGCTTGGCAATCTCCACGCGCCGGGCGTGGTCGTCCACAAGCTGCCTTACTTCTCCAATAAACAGGGGCAAGAAAAAAGTGTTAAACTCCAATATTCCTACTAAATAAGGAAACCCTAAAAGCTCAAAGTTCAACTATTGGCTAAGAAAGCTGCAGAGCCCGCTCCTCCTCCTCCAACTTCAAGCGGCAGCGAGCCGAGACGTGCGTGAGCTTCTTCCTTGGAGGCTATGTTCGCCCCACACGGTCCCTTTAAGGGCTTTGTGGTCCATCTTGCTTAATCTTTATAGGGAAGTTTAGGGATTAGAATTGCACACAAAGTTTAGGAACCCAGAACTTCGGACTCGTTTTCGCACCCCCCAAGGCTCACGTAGCACGCCATCTCGAAGTCCAGGCGCATGGGGAGCCGCATGTTGGCGTCCCCCGTGGCGAGGGCGATCATGATCCTCCCCGCGTGCGCGTCCGCATGCTGGTCGGGGTTCAGGGTGCCCAGGTGCTCGAAGACGTGGAGCGCCTCCTTCTGATAAGGGCTGTCCGTGGCTATGGCACGAACGAGCTGGGAGACCTGGTCATACTTCCGGTTCTGGAACTTCAGGAAGAGGAGGTACAGGGCCGCCGTGAGCGTGGGGGTGTACAAGAAGGTCCCTGAAAGGTGCATCTCGTACAGGAACACCTTGGTTTCATGCAGCCGCCAAAGCCGGTTCTCACGCTCCAGGACCACTTCGGAGGAGAAAGGGTCGGAGGCTATGCTCGGCCGATGGGTGGCCACGAAGGGGACCAGGATGTGGTAGCTGTCCGTCTGGTCCTGAAGTAGCAGGCTGTGTGGGATGCCATCGAAGTGATGTAAGAGCTCCGGGGGCGCAGGGGTGGCCACGCGCATGCCCTTGAAATCCTTGGACACGAGCTGGCCTGCCTTCCACTCGAAGCTAATTCCCAGCCTCGGAAGCTCCACCACATCCACTTCGGAGCCCGAGCTGGACCAAGCCAGGACGTGCGAAAGGTTCTCCAGCCTCGACATGAGCTGCGCCACGACGAAGCCTGCCGAGCCTTCCTCCGCAAAGAGCAGGTCCACCATCCTCCGCACCTCCAGGCCCTCGGATCCTTTAATGATCTTGGCTACAAATGCGTGGACCCCCTGATCTCCCGTGTGCTTGGCAGTGGTTCGGATCGCCAGCCTCACCAGAAGCCAGTGGTCCCAGCTTCCCGGGGTCTGCTCCTCACCGTCGGAGTTCAGGGGATAGGCTCGCACGATGGTCTCGTCCTGCATGTCGTGGTAGAAGTGGTACAGCTCCAGCAGGCACTGGGGCACCACCCCTTGCATCACCCAGGTGGACAGGAAGAGCTCACCTGGGACACGGCCGGTGCGAAGCTCCCATCTGACACTGTTTCTCAGCCACTCGGATTGCTAAGAATTATTATCGAAGTGCTATGTTCGGATTGCTAACAATTCTTAGTGAAGTGCTCTATATGGTTACATCTCGTTACTATCCTTCTGCTGCGTTTACTGCTCTTAATAAGGTCAATTCTTCTTGCCTTCCCCAAGAGTATCCGCAACGAGCCACCCAAACGAGAATGCTGCAATTTCCAGTGTTCGGCCCCCTCAACCCCCCGAAGCTCCCTAAAACCCCCAAACATCCCAAAAACCTGAACCCTAAACCCCGCAACATCCCCAAGCCCCAAACATTCCAAACGCCCCGAACCCTAAACCCCCAAACATCCCAACACGCCCCAATGCGGCCTCGCCGAGTGAGCTTCGTCCAACTGGCACCCCTCAACGCCTGCGCGCTGCGTGCTGCATTCTCAAGTCCGTCGACCTGATGCAGCAGAGGGTTCAGGGGTTAGGGTTTAGGGTTCAGGGCTTAGGCTGAGTCTTCGGCTTAGGCTTGGGCTTTAGGGCTTCGGGCTTAAGGTTTTGGGGCTTGGGGTGAGGGGCCAGGGTCCGGCTTAGGCTTTGCATTAGATCCTATATTGCCCCCCTTCTACCCCCACGGAAGTGGATCCTGTGAGGGGTTTTGGGCTTCGGTCAGGCTTCAGAAAAGTATTTTTAAAAAAGAATCCCCGCATTTCAGGGCCAAAAATCGTCCGGGCACCTGGGAAAGACGATAATCATAGAGAAATAGTCTAAACCTACCTGCATCGGGGATTTCCCCTATGGAGGGGTGCGCCTATTGGGGTTCTTATAACGAGGATGATGGTGCTTTGGGGGTGTATTCGGGCCACCACGAGTTCGAGACATACCCCCACTGGGCTCCACCGCCACCTTGAACCCTAAACCCTAAACCCTAAACCCTGAATCCTAAACCCTAAACCCTAAACTCTGAACCCTAAACCCGTTGCGGCCTTCGCCAGCTGGGCGAGGCAGTGCAGGTTACGCAGCAGCTGATGGCTTCGCAGAAGCGGCACGTAGCACACCTGTCATCGGATCACATCGCTTACAGCTTGCTGCCCTGAACTCCTAGCCCTAAACCCTAAACCCCAAACCCCGAACCCCAAACCCCGAACCCCAAACCTAAACCCCAAACCCTAAACCCTTACCCTAAACCCCAAACCCTAAACCCTATACCCTAAACCCTGCACCCTAAACCCTAAACCCTAAACCCTAAACCGGAGAACGCCTCCTCCTGCTCCTTCGAAAAGTCGCCCTCGCCACTCAGCATCTTGCCCTGACTTGAACAGGCCGGCCACAAGCAGCAAGAAGAAAAGTGTGACGAAAGCGTTGAGGGAGTTGAGGGTCAGGATTCGGATGTAGGGGATTTAGGGTTCGGATTTAGGAGCTTCAGGTCTCGGATGTAAGGGATTCAGGGTTCTCGGGCTCAGGGTCGAGGGAGTTCAGGGCTTGGGCGCTCGTGCTCCCACAGTGAAGGGCTTCACGTGGCGGCCTGCAGCTGCAACTTGCCAGTCCGGGCCGTGTAGTTGAGGAATGCCGTGACTCGCAACTTCCGCTGGTGCGTCTTCGTGCCGGCCTGTTTAGGGAACGCTAAACCCTAAACCCGAAACCCGAAACCCTGAACCCTAAACCTCAAATTCTGGGGTTCTGGGTTTAGGGAGGTTGCCCTTACAGTCTGCCCTCTCAACCCAAACCTGGCAGAAACGGGGCGGCGCCCAAATTCAGACCCTACCCGGGGGCCACTGGCCACCCAGGACGCCCTCCTTGAGGTGCCTCCACATAGAAGACTAAAATTCAATGGCCTAAACCCTAAACCCTAAACCCTGAACCCTGTAGCCCTAAACCCTAAACCCTAAACCCTCAACCCTATAATCCTAAACCCTAAAGCCTAAACCCTAAACCCTCGGCCCGAAACCCTAAACCCCAAACCCTATAACCCTATAACCCTATAACCTTATAACCCTATAACCCTAAACCCTAAACCCTAAAACTATTACCCTAAACCCTAAACCCTAAACCCTAAACCCTAAACCCTATAACCCTAAACCCTAAACCCTATAACCCGAAAGCCCTCCCTCCTCGTCGGCAAGAACACCCACCGGCTCGATCAGCTCGCGCGGCCAGATCCAAGAGTTGCCATCCGGCCTGCTTAGGGTTTACGGTTTAGGGTTTAGGGTTTCGGGTTTAGTGTTTAGGGGCCGGTAGTGCGACAGATCTAGTGGGTGTACGATTCCAAGCCGATTGAAACGCAATTTCTCGTTCCGAGCACTTATGTTGACCAGAAAGGCGCTGTTTTAAGAAGGGTCTGGGGTGTTAGGGTTTCGGGTTTAGGGTTTAGGGTTTCGGGTATCGGGGTTCGGGTTTAGGGTTTAGGGTTTAGGGTTTAGCGGTCGGAGAACATGGCTGGCCAACCCGTCTTGGGATTGTTCTGCAGAACCCTCTGTGTGCATGCCCTGCTTGAAGCTACGAAAGCGTTGAAGCCTGAACCCTAAACCCAAGCCGCAAAATCCTGGACCCAAAAACCCTATACTAAGCCCTAAACCCTAACCCCAAATCTCATCGTGGCTGAGTCCCACACATCCTCACGCTGATCGTTGCCCCGCTCTCGCTGGTGATTTCTCCTGCGATCGCGGAATGAACCAATACAGGAAAGATGTGTAGGTACTGCTCAGTACGACACTTATCACCAGGACGTATAGGTGTATATAAGCCTCTTGAGAGAATCAGGGTAACGACCCACCAGCAAGCCAGTCACCCCAAGGCGTTCCGCCCTAATCCCTTACCCCAAACCCTAAACCCTTCCCTTAACCTCAAACCCTAAACCGTTAAACCCTAAACCCTTAAATCAAAGCCCTAAACCCTGAAAGCCTTAAACCCCTAAACCCTTAAACCCTTAAGCCCTAGACCCCGAAGCCCTTAAACCTTCAACCCTGACAGAGCCCTAGACACCAAACAACCCTAAACCCCCTAAACCCTTAAACCCTAAACCCTCGAACAACCCTAAACCCTAAACTCCTAAACCCCTAAATCCTTCAAGCAACCCTAAACTCCTAAACCCCTAAACCCTAAACCCCAAACCCCTGAACCCCTGAACCCCTTCAACCCTAGAGCCCCCCTGGCCGGTCCTACTTGGCCCAAGCAACGCTCCATCTGATCGTCCCATCCAGGACCCGGCTCAACAATCATCTGGGCTTCCTCTGGGCTGAGGGGGGTTTAGGGTTTCGGGTTTCGGGTTTGGGGTTTAGGGTTTAGGATTTAGGGTTTAGGGTTTAGGTTTTAGGGTTTAGGGTTGAGGTTTTAGGACCTTCAGTGAGTCTCTCGGGCGTGATGCGGAGCTAAATATACAAAACACAGTTTAGAGCTGAGGGCTGGGGGTTTAGGTTTGCAAAACCTGAACTCTGAACCCTAAACCCTAAACCCTAAACCCCAAACCCTAAACCCTAAACCCCAAACCCTAAACCCTAAACCCCAAACCCTAAACCCTAAACCCTAAACCCTAAACCCTAAACCCTGAACCCTAAACCCTAACCCTGAACCTTCATTTCTTGGCTGCCGATCCTCAACGCTGACCATCTTGATCCGCACCCGGCCCTGACAGGGAGCACAACTCAAAGAATAATCAAACAATCAGGATAGAGGGTTAGTGTTTGGGGTTTAGCGTGTTAGGGTGTTAGGGTGTTAGGGTGTTAGGGTGTGAGGGTGTTAGGGCGTTAGGGTGTTAGGGTGTTAGGGTGTTAGGGTGTTAGGGTGTTAGGGTGTTAGGCTGTTAGGGTGTTAGGGTGTTAGGGTGTTAGGGAGTTAGGGAGTTAGAGTGCTAGGGTGTTAGGGAGTTAGGGTGCTAGGGTGTTAGGCTGTTAGGGTGTTAGGGTGTTAGGGCTTTGGGGCTTTAGGGTTTAGGGTTTAGGGGTTTAGGGTGTAGGGGTTTGGGGTTTAGGGTTTAAGGTGTTTTGGGGTCGAGAGCTTATGGTTTAGGGCTTTGGGGTGTAGAGTTTAGGGTTTAAGGCGTCACAGGGTTCGGGTTTAGGAATCAGGTCTTGGGGATGCAGGACTCGGAGGGCTTGAGCGAACGGCAAGAAGACAAAAGATCAAGCTCCGAAAATCCGTAGTGGCCAGCAGCCGTCCCCAAAAGAGACTGAACATCTGGGATCTGAATGCGTGTCTATTTAGGGTTTAGGGTTTAGGATTTTGGGTTTTGGCTTTTGGCTTTTGGGTGGTTTGTTGAGGAGGGGGGGGGGTGCATGCGGACTTCGGATACCTTAAGCCCTAGACCCTAGCTTCAAAACGAACATGTTGAAACCCTACGTGGCCTTTGTCCCTTCGGTCTGGACCTCGGCAATCTCCACGTCCAGGTGGTACCTCGGGGACGACATGCACATGATGCTCCTTTCTGGGTACCCTTACCATGTTAGAATCGAGAACCCCCCCCCAAAAAAAAAAAATAGCCATAAATATAGACAAACCTCCAGATATAGGGTAGACGAGCCCCAATTCTTCTGGCTCAGGTTTTTCTCCCCAAGGTGCTTGACGGTCGACCTCGGCGATGCCTCGAGATCCTCCTCCTTGCCGAGTTTGAAGCTGATCTCCCGGAACTTGTTGACGTTGAGGTTCTTGACAATCGGCATACCGGCTGCGTTCTGCACCTCCTCCGCCGGAAATGTCTTCTCAGAGCCATCCGGCATCTGTAGGATCACCTTTTTTTGGAAGGGGTACAGGGACCCCTAGAGGGGGGGACCCTTCATAAGATTCCCCTATATAGCCCCTAGAAAAAAACCTTAAAATATCGCCCCCCCTAAGCAGTTTCTAGAGATCACTCCTAAGTAACCCCTATGGTCCCTTTACAAGGGTCCCTCCCTTGGTGCCCTTTTGAGCCTTGCTGGACTCGACGAGGGCGATGAAGGTTGGTGGCGGCAGCATGGCGACCTTCACCAGCTTCATCTTGTCCCCGGGCTCCGGGGGCTGAGAGGTCTCCCGGAACTCGACCACGTCCTTTCTAGGAGAATGGTAGGGACCGTATAAGGTATATATATATATATATATATATATACATATATATATAAGGAGTAGATAAGGTATATATAGGGACTATATAAGGTATATATGAGGGTGATATAAGGGAATAAGGTTCAGGGTCCCTTCTAGGGGGTGCCTCCTTATACCCCCCCCAGAAGTCCTTCTGCAAGGACTCGATGTCGGCGTCGGAATCGGAGTCCGACTCCGCGTGGTCGTTCTCCTCCTGATCTTGGTTTCGAGTCCAGTCGAGCGCTTCCAGAGCCTGTCAGGGGAGCGAGTGCCCTAACCCCCAGAACCCAAAACCCTCACCCCGTAGGATCCCAACAAGGCCTGACCCAAGGAGCCCCAAAGCCCCAAACAGCCGTCAAGACCGCGGAACCCAGCACCGCCTCGAAACACCTTAGGAACTGTTCTGGGGGGGGTCAAGCGGCAGACCCGAATCAAACCCAAGCCTAAACCCTGAAACCGCAACCCCTAACCCTAAAGAAACCCGAAACCCGAAACCCGCAACCCTCAACCCCAAACCCCAAACCCCAAACCCCAAACCCCAAACCCTAAACCCTAAACCCTAAACCCTAAACCCTAAACCCCCTGCCCCTTTTGTGCTTTCCTCCTCCAGCGCCGTAGGCGCCTGGACCTCACGCCGGCAGACGGTGACCGAGGCGGGATGGGCCCTCAGCTCCTCTTAGGGTTTAGGGTTTAGGGTTTAGGGTTTAGGGTTTAGTTTTTAGGGTTTAGGGTTTGGGGTTTGGGGCTTGGGGCTTGGGGTTTAGGATTTAGGGATTTAGGGTTTGGGGTTCAGGGTTTGGGGTTTAGGGTTTGGGGTTTAGAGGTTGGGGTTTGGGGTTTGGGGTTTGGGGTTTGGGGTTTGGGGTTTGGGGTTTGGGGTTTAGGGCTTGGGGTTTAGGGCTTGGGGTTTAGGGGTTAGGGATTTAGGGTTTGGGGTTCAGGGTTTGGGGTTTCGGGTTTGGTGTGTAGGGTTTGGGGGTTGGGGGATCAGGGTTTGGGGTTCCGGGTTTGCTGTTCAGGGTTCGAGCCCTTCCCTCCCCCCCAAACCCCCTAAACCCTAAACCCTAAACCCTCTCCAAGTCCTCTGGCTCACCAGCTTCGAAACGCTCCAAGGCTGACCACGGTGCGCGACGGTCCTGTCCACGAATGCTTCGGGGATTTGGAGGGGGTGGGGGGAGAAGTTTGGGGATTTAGGGTTTTAGGGGGTTTAGGGGGTTTAGGGGGTTTAGGGGGTTTAGGGGGTTTAGGGGGTTTAGGGGGTTTAGGGGGTTTAGGGGGTTTAGGGGGTTTAGGGGGTTTAGGGGGTTTAGGGGGTTTAGGGGGTTTAGGGGGGTTAGGGGGTTTAGGGGGTTTAGGGGGTTTAGGGGGTTTAGGGGGTTTAGGGGGTTTAGGGGGTTTAGGGGGTTTAGGGGGTTTAGGGGGTTTAGGGGGTGTACGGTTTAGAGCTCTGGGAGGGTGTTGGGGTTCAGGGCTTCAGGTTTTCCCGAAACCTTGCGCCCTAAACCCTCAACACTCAACCCTCTGGGACGGCTTGGACGTGCAAGCAACCTAATGCAAAGTGCGCTGACAGGGCGTTTGGGGTCATTGAAGCTCGGCTGGAGGTGGCAGAGGCTGAAGCGGCAATCTGAGCTCCACCTCAGCACGCAAGGGGCCGTAAACCCTACACCGAATATGGCTGTTCCTACAAACATCATCTACACAAGGTGTCAACGTGTTCAATCCGGAGTGCAGACACAGATGCAACGAGAAAATCGTATCGCACTTAAGCCTGTCAGCCGTCACCCAGCACAGCTCAGCTTACCCAGATGCAGGCATGAAGCTCAAGAACGCGATAGAAGCGGTGGCCGTGGCTGTGAATTCCGAAGATCTGCACCATTTGGAGGTCACGGAAGAGCAGCACTTCCTGCCGAAAGGCTGGCCGCGGTGGTTTAGGGTTTACGGTTTAGGGTTTAGGGTTTAGGGTGTTGGGTCTTGGGGTTTGGGGTTTGGGTTTGAAGCTTGTGGTTTAGGGTTTCATGGTTGGTGGCTGGGGTTTGGTTGATGTAGGCTCTCGGCCAATGTTGGCGGGTAGTGACTTTGAGTTGAAGGCTTAGGATTGCGTGTCAACAGACGCGGGCGGGGGGGCCGAAAAAAGGGACCGCCCTCAGCCGTAAACCCTACAAGACCCTAAACCCCCAAGCCCTAAACCTAAACCCCAAACCCCCAAGCCCTAAACCCCAAACCCTAAACCCTAAACCCTAAACCCCAAACCCTAAACCCGAAACCCTAAACCCTAAACCCTAAACCCCAAACCCTAAACCCTAAACCCTAAACCCTGCCTTCCAGGTTCGTCGGGGGACTTGGGGATGGCACACGGCCACGTGGAGAACTGCGGCCGAGGCCGAGGCCTCGCTGTTCCTCGGGCTTTTTGGGGGGCTTTTGGGGGAGTTTTGGGGGTTTAGGGTTTAGGGTTTAGGGTTTAGGGTTTAGGGTTTAGGGTTTAGGGTTTAGGGTTTAGGGTTTAGGGTTTAGGGTTTAGGGTTTAGGGTTTAGGGTTTAGGGTTTAAGTTGAAGAGTTTAAGGTTTAGGGTTTAAGGCCTAAGTTGAAGAGTCTAAGGTTTAGGGGTTTAGGGTATGTTCAGGAAGAGGGTTTAGCGCTTGGGTGTATAGTGGGGTTTGGGTCGAGGGTTTTTGGGCTGATAGGGCTGAGGGCTTCTAGGGCCCTAAACCCTAACCCTAAACACTATGATAAACCCTAAACCCCCAACCCGTAACCCCTAAACCCTAAACCCTAAACTCTAAACCCCAAACCCTAAACCCCAAACCCTAAACCCTAAACCCTAAACCCTAAACCCCCAACCCGTAACCCCTAAACCCTAAACCCTAAACCCTAAACCCTAAACCCTAGACCCGAACCATAGGCATTTTAAGGTTGAAAAGGTTTAAGGCTTTGGGTCTCAGCTCACAAGGCCACAAGCCCGAACCCTAAAGGCTTCCAAAACCCTAAGCCCTAAGACCTGGCTGCTCGCAAGGCTTAAGGGTCTAGGGGTGAGTTTGGGGTTTAGGGTCCAAAACCCTAAGCCCTAAGACGGTTTAGGGTCTTGTGCTTAGGGTGAACCCAAGGCACATCTGCACCATGGAGTTTGGGGTTCTTGGCTGACGCGCCACATGCAGAGCATCCTGAGGAGGCCTCAAAAAAGCCCCCAAAAGAGCCCCTAAAGAGCCCCTGAAGATGAAGCCCCTGAAGCTGAAGCCCCCAAAAGCCCCTAAAGCCCCCTAAAGCCCCGGAAGCCCCCAAAACCCTAAACCCTAAACCCTAAACCCTCAACTCTCAACCCCCAAACCCCCGAAATCCGAGCTTCAGGAAGAGCTTCGCCGGCTGCCCAAAGGGCAGCCCGAGAGCCGGGGGCTCGAAAAACCGCTTCTGGATCGGGTCCAGGAGCTCGCTGGCCCATTCCGAGCCAAGGGGCAAATCTTCGGGGTCGTACTCCTGGGCTGGGGCTTGTTTAGGGGGCTTTAACAGGGGCTTTATAACCCTTCGTAGCTCTAGGGGTAGTTCAGGGTTGTTTAGGGCTTCAGGGAGTCGTGGTTTTCGGGTTTTTGGGATCTAGGGCTTCAGGGTCTTTTCGAGGGTTTCGTCATCCCTTGCAGTGGCGGGAGGTAGCCATGTGGAAGCAGCGCCAACTCGTCCAGCAGGTGTCGGGAGGGTTTAGGCTTGAGGGTTTAGGGTTTAGAAAGGGTTTAGGGTTTAGGGGTTCTGGCTCATGTTGCACATTGTGTCAGGGAGAAAAACGCAACAGTTTGAATGGCGTGTTGGCTCTTTCCTGTTCCGCGCCGCTTGTATGGAACTCTTGCCTTTCGGGTTTAGGGCGTTTAGGTTTCAGGGTCTAGGGTTTGGGGTTTAGGGTTCAAGGTTTAGGGGGTTTTACGATTGGAGCCTCTGGTGCGGCGGGGTCGCTTCCGCTTCTAAACCCGAAAACCCTGCTCGCTTAAGAAGAGCCTCGTCATCGAGAGTGCACAGGGGCAGAAAGCCAGGCTGACCCGGGCTCAACGGCCACCACTTTAAGACCATCAGGCTGTGGGACATAAGCTCCACCACCGACACAGTGTCTGACTCGAGGGTAATGGATCCTTGCAAGCTTCGGATCTCATGGCCTTTCCTTGGCTTCTCCAAGAAGAGACTATCAAACAAGCTCTCAAACTGCGTCCCTGCAACATACAAGGGAGCCTGACGGTTTCAAGCTCCACTGTTGGTTAACCCTAAGCCCTGAGCCCTGAGAGCCCTAAGCCCTAAACCCTAAACCCTAAACCCTACACCCTAAGTTGAGCCAAAGCCTCTTGTACAGCACCGCCTGCAAGTCCGTGCTCTTGATGATGGCTTGCTCCAGGGCCTGGACGGAGACTCCCCGCATGGAGACCTGGAGCAGCTGGACGTTAATCTCCAGCCAGTAGACCTCCTTTCCTTCAGAGACGACATATTTCTAGATGTCAATGTGTGTCGATGTATGTCAATGTGTGTGTGTGTGCGTGTATGTATGTATGTATGTATGTATGTATGTATGCATGCATGTATGTATGTATGTATGTATGTCTGTACGTCTGTCTGTCTGTGTATATACATATACATATATATATATATATATATATATCTATCTATCTATGTGCGTATGTGTCTGTGTGTATACACATATACATATGTACTTCCGACAACAAAACGCTACCAAGAGCCAGCAAGTTTCTCGGCAGGAGCTTGATGGATGTGCTGCTCCCCGCGGGATCCAACGCGAAACATCCCATGGAGTTGATCACGTCGTCGTTGATCCGGGCCCAGGCCCTGTCGGACGCTGGCGTGCTGCCATCGCCGGCCTGAAACCCGGTTTCAGGGGCTCCGAAGGGTACATTTTGATTCTTGTTCTTTTCTATATTGTATTTCCCTTTTTTTTGGGTATGGGGGCGGGGGGAGGGGAGGGGAGGGGCCCTGTTTTCGAAGATGCCCCCCAAAACAATCCTAAGCATTTTTCTGCGTGGCCGGCCTGGTCAGGAACCGCATAGTGCTCGAACACCTGACTCAAAAACTCTCTAAGCCAGATGTCTGGGCAACCGTGTATTTAAGGTACCCTAAACCCTTAACCCTAACCTAACCCCCAACCCCCAACCCCCAAACCCCAAACCCCAAACCCCAAACCCCGAACCCCAAACCCCAAACCCCAAACCCCAAACCCCAAACCCTAAACCCTAAACCCTAAACCCTAACCCCCAAACCCTAAACCCTACACCCTGAACTCAACTCCCACCCACCTGGTTCAGGGCCTGCTGGAAGTCGCGGGATCCTGACTCGGAGTCCGGGCAACTTTCAAGCCACTCCACTAAGAAGCGCCGGTGGGTCTGGACCACTTCCATCACTTCCTTGGGGGTCCAGGGTTCGGGGTTTAGGGATTTAGGGTTTCGGGTTTAGAGGGTTGAGGGTTTAGGGTCCAGGGTTTAGGGTTCGGGGTTGAGTAGTCATGGTCTGAACCGTTGCCACGTCTTCACGACTCAAGGATGTAGGTAGGCTAAGGCTCATGAATTCGCGCTCTTGCTTGGGCTCCCTTTTTGGGTCCTCAAAACTGACCCTAATTTAGGGAACTACCCACAAGGGCTAAGAGGCGCACATGATTTACAAGCGCCTGCTCATCCATGACATGCTCAAAAAGGGGAATGCCCATCCAACTGTTAAACTCCAAACCCTTAAACCCCCTAAAAACCCCAAAGCCCCTTAACCCTAAAGCATTCTCAAAAACTCGAAGACCTTTAAAACCCCAAGAAATACCTCTCAAACATCTTCAAAAAACTTAAAACCACCTAACCCTAAAACCTTCTCCAAAACTCTAAAACCCTGAAAAAGAACTCTCAATCCTGTAAGAACCCCTTTCAAGCCCCAACCCATGAAACCCCACTTAACACCCCTTAAAGCCCCTAAACCCTAAACCCTAAACCCTAAACCCTAAACCCTAAACCCTAAACCCTAAACCCTAAACCCGCAGAGCTTCGGGCTCTGGCATCTGAAGGAAGCCGCAATTCCAGCTGTGGTGCGCCATGAGGCAGGCCAGGGAGCCCAAGAGGCTCTGGACCATCCTCGGGGCCCACTTAAGGTTTAGGGTTTGGGGTTTGGGGTTTAGGGTTTAGGGTTTTTAGGGTTTAGGGTTTAGGGTTTAGGGTTATATGGGGTTGTATATAGGGTTACATAGGGATTTATGGCCCATAGAAACCTGAAAAGCAGTTCCAAATCAGCCTCAGCAACGTGCTGGAGGCGCGCTCCTCCTTCCTGGCATGTTGGGGGAGTGGTGGGAAGGGGAGTATCGAGCTTTTCCTCGGGGCTTTATTAATTTTAATTTGAGTTCAGGGATAGCTAAGGGCATCATTGCGAGCTCTGGCTGTCCTGGCCGGCTTGGCTTCGAGGGGCAGGCTGCGCAGCAGCAGGAGGATGTGGGCGTGGATGTCGCAGATGCGCTCCGTGTTCTTGTCGATCAACCGGGGGTTCTGTTGGGAGCTTGCCTCGAGCTCTTCAATCCAGGACTTGAGGCAGCGCATGATGCCCCCATCCAGCAGCATTCGGACCTGGTGGTCCTTCATGGCCTGCTCAAGGTGCTTCTTCATCTCCTGCCTCTTCTCGCTCCCCTCCTTGGGAAAGCCGAACTGCCAGTTCTTCTGCCTCGCCCTATGGCACGCCATCAGGTTTTGCCACAGGAAGGTCACGGCGCTCATGACCCGCGCGTAGAGGCGGATGAAGAAGAGCACGATGTCCACAGTGTTGGAGGTGGAGGAGGTGGCCAAGTCGATGGAGAGGTTCAGGCACTCCACCAGCGCGTCTAAGAGCGGCTTCGGCGACCTGCCATGTGCTTACACCAAAAAACACACAAAGAGATGATAGATTCCTATGTTGCCCTTGTAAGGAAGCGTGTCTTCGTTTTGCTTTTTGTTTGTCTTTTCCTCTTTCTTTTTTTTGGGGGGGGGGGGGGGTTCTTAAGCCAAGGGTGGCGACCTCGTGAGCTCCAGCAGCAGCTGCCCGGCTGGGGAGCCCACGAGCCGAGTCTCCTCCCTGGTGACTGGCACGTGCTGCGGGCACGTGGACATGTTCCTCGGGGTCCAAGAGCTCCCTCGGCCCCTAAGCCCTCAGCCCTGAATCCCTCAACCCTCAACCCTGAACCCTCCACCCTAATACCCGAAACCCTAGTACCCGAAACCCTAATACCCGAAACCCTAATACCCGCAACCCTAAACCCTAAACCCTAAACCCTAAACCCTAAACCCTAAACCCTAAACCCTAAACCCTAAACCCTAAACCCTAAACCCTAAAAACCCTAAACCCTAAACCCCAAACCCCAAACCCTAAACGACTCCCTCAGCACAGGTTCGCGTGGAGCACGAGGCGGCCCGGCTCAAGGATGGCGGCCTGGAGCATGGC